TGAATAAATGCACACAAAATACACGCAAATACACACATACAAGACAAGCAAAGGTAAAAATGTACATGCACAGGGTATAGGAAGTTGGGAGTGCATGTTACTTGAGGCCTAGTTCCCGTGTTTGCCCGTCACTTATCAGCGAATGCATGTGTGCAGGCTCATCTAAAATGATGGGCAAAAGGTAAAGAAAAAAGCCCTGAACAAATAAACATTTATGCCCCTTACCTGCCTCAGACGAAGCACAAGAGCAACACAGATACCTGAGGAAAATAACCTCGGAGTCATCCAAGTGTGAATTCATGTGTGCAATGCATATGCGACCCAGAGGTCGATAAGAGGGGATGAAGCTTATGCAGATGTGGGCGAAAGTAGGTCAAAACAGCAAGCGGACGCGATTGGTAGACATGCTAGTCTGGACTGAAATGATCATATACGAGATTTCTCAGGAGATGGAGTTCAATAGATCTATTCTTGTGTTCCTGGAATATTATGTCGATGCTAAATCCATCATATCACCTGTTGCCATGACAAAAATGGTAACAATGACAGATACCATTTTCGAAGTACGCAGTGGGCAGAAATGGATATGATTTTACAAATGGTTCCATAACAAAACCGAGTGCAATATTTTGTGGAATAAAATTTTGGATTATTACATGTTCACAAAACTCTAGATGAGGTGAGGAGTCCGCCAATAAGCCAACAATTAACATAACTCCCATCCATGTATCCTGTTCCTAATCTCTGAAATGGGCAAGGGCAATTATGTTTCACGCATAATTCTAAGATTGTATGATAGTCTATGTCAGGTGCAAGAAATAAATGTGTCGTCTATAGCGTAGTGCAGTAGCAATACCAACAAGATGGCACAAGAGTGCCCTCAGGAGCTCGAGCATGTTGCCAGGCTTGAAGGAAGCAAGCAGTAAAGATTTAGCATCACCCGCCAATGGCATGTATGAGTTATATGAAATGAAATACTTTCATCCTAGTAGACCTATGATGAACCAAATAGCAATCTTGGAGAAAAAATAACGGGGTTTCGGTAGCAGTGGTTTTTTAGATGAGATCCAATGAAAGATATTAATGCGACTCATTTTCTTTCTTAAATCCATTGAAATAAAATTATATTGTCATTAGTATGAAAAATGCAAACTACGGGATGCATTACAGCCAAGAAAATCAAAAGTATTTTGTTGTAAGTGAGATTTGGTGGGGGCACGGCAACTTGGCATGATGAAAAGGCCTTAGGTACACGCTTCATTCAGATCTGAATTAATTATTAAACCAAATCTATGCTGGTCCCTTTGCCCATCTGTACATGTACTGGTCATCAGCTTCCATCTATATATTTGACTATGGAAACATTTACTCATCAGTATCTTTGGGTAAAAAAGCTATGCTCATTATCATCCAGCCAGCGATTTATAGAGCAGTCGATGCTGCTAACTCCCCGCCCATTCAGTTGACAAACAATTAGGATAAATTTGTTCAGCTCAAAGAAGTTGTGGGTCATCTGTAATCATTTACATTCATTTATCACAAAGAAAGAGGAGCTAATATGGGGGTTGCGTGTTAAGGCTAGGTAGATGAGAAGGAGGTAAAGGAAAGAGATAAAGAGATTGGAAAATGAAAAGTGTACCCCTGAAGCGATAAGGAGAGATATGTGGACAGGATCCGTAGGTAAGATACTGAGTCGGTAAGGCATTAGAAGAGATAAAGTTAAGCTAAACTGGACGAAATTGTCTTGCGCAGTCGGTGATTGCGGCTCAGGCCCAAATAAACGACGGCCGAAAGCAGCCTGTATCGACGAAAGGGAAAATGGGGAAGGAAGATGCTGGACATTCGTTCGTAAGTGGAAATGTGAGAGGCTGACGAGCGATGGTAGTGGGCGTGAGGGCTGAAAAGACGCTGAAGAAGCCAACTCGGGATAGGGGAACATGGAGAGTGCTGCACCGGGCCTATTGACTGCGTGTGGAGGCACCCAATCACAACGGACCTAAGGGAGAGGGTAGACGAATGTGTCGGGGATACGAGGACAAGGTGCTTGGCTGGAACGGTAGATGGAAAGTGAAGAAGCATCGATTATGCCTTTGCGGATGTGCGCTCGTCTGATCAACAGTGCAATGTGATAGCATTGTTGGCATGATGCAGACGAAGAGGAGCGAAGGACTGAGGTTGGCTGCTGGACTGGGTGGAAAAGCAGAAGGTACGGACAAAATTGATTGTGTACAAGTGAAGGCTGGCGGAGGAAGACAAGAGGGCTAAATAAGAAGACCAGAGAGTAGACGAAGGCGGTACATGGCATTTGAGACTCAGTGCTGGCCAGACCCTAACGTCGACTCGAGCCCCACATCGGTCCAAGTCCCAGTCCATTTGTGCAAATGTGATGGCCGAGATTTTGGCCACAAACTCACCATCCTAGCTGATAGGCATACAGGGGCAGACATCTATGCATGGGCGAAGAGAGGAAGGAGGAAAAGGGAGATGAAGCTGATAGAAAAGTATGTGGACTGACTAGTAGGAACATGATTCCCTCTACCTCGGGCATCCTCCTTCCCCAGGCCTTCCCTGATGCCATTAAGATATATCTGTTCCAAGGCTAGTGCTAATCCAACAACAGGCACACTAACAGCAAACTGGTTGGATGGCATTTAGAAAGGCATACCGGATTATTCACCATGCTACACTGTTTAAAGGGCAATCAGCCCATTAACGAAAGGGGCTCAAAGGGGAGGACGCATGAGCAACACACTCAGCAGTCGTCCGAGGACGAAGGCGAGATTATGGACCTGCTTAAAGAGAGCTTCACGAAGAACATACCATCTAGAGATTGAAACAACTTGTCTGGACTTCCACGATTGTCGACATGGTCAAGAAACAGGATCAAAAATGTGCAAAAGAGACAAAGCCAGCGAAATTTAAAGAAATTAAGAGGAAGAGTGAAAGTCAACGAAGTGTAAACTGGAGTAAACAGTTTGTTTAAAATGAGGGCTGGTGTTAGAATGTGCGGTCGGCCCTAGATATCCTAAACGCGCCAAGCTCGGTGAAGTGATAGGCGTGAAAATGTGAGTATATCTAAGATAGGGTTGAACGGCGACAAAGAAGTTAAGAGGATAAGAGGCCCGAACAACCAATATGACTGGGCTAAATCGCTCGCGAATGCAAATGCTGCTAACACATTCATCATAAGGCTGGTTATATGGCTGAAGATAAATGGGGGGTAGATATCGGATCAAAGCATCGGCGATGGCAAACGACACTAAGTGCCACGTAGAAGTGTGAACACGAGAAGATTAAATAGACATATAAAAAAAACAAATGAGGGTGAGAGAGGGAAGTATTCGGCCAATGGGGCTGTTAGCCCCATTAAAAAAAAGAGAGGAAACAAACACAGATTTTCTCCATATCTACTTAGTGTGTATGGATACCAAATGTTTCGAGATTTCTTACTTTATACTAAGAGTAAGAAAGTATTGACCACGTAAACTAGCTATATTCCTTTTTTTTAATTCTATTTATAATGTGGAGTTGTCTCCAATTTTTGTACTATTGATAGACTGAACTTGTCTAAAAGAAGCAAGCAAGTTAATATTATAATCCAAGAAAGTATTATAAAATTGTATTCTAGATTACAGAGGTAAAACGGATAATGGAAATCAATTGTGTGGCCGGTAATGGTGATGTGTTCAATACTATATTTCCATTACTTCTTCATATTGAGTGGGCAAACTGGTGAAGAGGGTTGTTCTTTTCTTCAGGATTGTACGAATGTTCCATTTCCCTAGTATTAGTCGCAGCTTCCGAGCCAATTCGCAGGCAGGAATATTCATCTTTTTTCCTCTGCGCATCTTTCTTTCCCTTCATAATCTCTGTCCTTCCATCTGTTCATCACCATACGCATGTTGCGTTGTATTGCCTCTTCTGGAATGCTGTTTCCAAGAAACATCTGAGTTAGCTTTCCCAATTCTCCTTCCCAGAACTCGTAGGCTTCTTACGACCATACTCCGGACTATTCCAATCTTCATCCCATATGTATTGTTCGAGTGGAAGTTAAGCATGCGATTTATTTTGGAAAAGTCTTTTCTTGAGAGGTTCCTCGGAGCGAATGACCTTCACATCCAAGAAAGGTAAGTGTTCGTTACCTTTCACAACCATGGTAAATTTGTAATCTGATTTCCTCTCTAAACGAAACGCTGTCATTAATGCGAAAGTTGATAGGCAACTTTCTGGCTCCTTCACCCGTCAGTAAAGTCTCGTGATAGGGCTGATCCTAGAGAAAAGGGGTCCCATACGACCTCCATTTGGTGACTTGTCATCGGGTAGAATGGAATACATCCTTGAAATATAGGGATTTTGATTTAACAGCCTCGTGTAATTTTCCTAATTAAGTGGAGAAATCATGTCCTTGTTCCTCAAGCATTTTTAAGACATTAATTTGTTATCACAAGAATGGATCCTTGTAGTCGAAGGGCTGTAGTAAGCTGAGGTGAAGCCGATAAATTCGTAACACATTATAACTTGCTTTTCTTTGTTTCTCCAAACTTCAGTGTAAATGAAAATGTGCCAACAAGGAAAATTCAAAATCGATTACCTTAAAAAATGTTGCAAAATATCATTTTCTGCTGCTACTACTATTATTGATAGCCTCGCAAGCCTCAAAAACGTCTAGCTCAGTGGAAGGTCGAAGACCAACACACCTTACTCGGTGAACAAACAACTTCGGCTACTTTCATCACATCAGGACATCTTCAGAACTGAACAAAATCAGCATGAAAATTGAAGTGGATTACTTAAAATGTTATAAACCTTAAATACACTCATGGATAAATGTATGTGTATAAAGTGTAGACAGGATGAGGATAAAGAATAGGATATAATCAAGGATAGAATAATGCTTAAAAATAGAGGGGCAGCATTTATATTCTGTCTGCACAGTAAAATGAGGCAGAATGAGGCACACTACTGCGTTATAGATAAAAAAGGGCCGAAAATCAGACCGTAGACAGAATTTGAAGACAGACCTATAGGGGCCAAAGGAGGAAGGCAGGTAGACGCGGACGAAGACGCCAAAGACGAACAAAAGACAGTCCGGATGTAAACTAGACTCGCACTGCGGTGCATGGGTGGGCATATTCGAGTGTAGGCAAATAAATGGCAGAAATACTGACAAGCCCACAGCGACTGCAAATTGTAGCAAGGTTGGCACGACTACTAACCCTGCCAACAAATATATTTGTGTACCAAAGTATATGCATATATATGTGAGAGCGCATGCCGCCAATTCGCGTGCTTCTATAAGTGACTTCATGCCTGAATATTTACGATAATCTCCAAAGTCTGTGACTTCTAAGAAAGTTGGTCTACATGAAGTAGAAACAAAAGCGCTTTCCCATAAAGCTTCTGGCATAACCATTGAAATGTAGAATTAGCAAACTACGAGTACTAGGGCACATGCACCTCTAGACGTAAACAAGAATAAATCCATACTAAAGCCA